AGTAGAAAATCACATTTATCAAATATTAAATAAGGAATGCATTAAAACCCCAAGACAGGAAAGAAGAAAACTGAACAGAAGGAAAAAATCCTTAGGTTGAGCCAAATGTTTTATGAACTAGGTGACAGTAGGGCATGGTTAATTTTTTACAAATTATTGCTTAAACAAAAATAAACAAGCAATGCACAAAGGTCAAAAAACGCCGGCTGAATCCAACGCAGATTTATGTAATTCCTTGGTCTCAAGTTAATGGTTTTATGCCACTCACTGTAGGTTAACCAGCTGGGTGAACTGGCTGCATATTGCTGCAAAATGACTCAAATAATGTATTTGAATATGCACAAAATACGTCCAAAGAATATGGGGAGAATTTAGATAACGGTAAACTCTCTACAGATCAATTGTGTGTACTCAGAAAATTTTGCTAGTACAGAAACAAAGATGTTCAAACTTGATTACGCCAAATATAATCCCAGGGAGAAATGGGGAAAAGCAGGTTACTGAACAGTGCCTGAACTCGTGTGACTTCCGTATCTGAGGCACCACAGGGACAGCTTCAGGAAAACAAACAAGGAAACAGCCCTACAGCCAGGAGATTTGCACAGATTACCAGGGACCAAGATGTTCTGGATTTGCAGATTTTAAAATTGAGAATATCCCAAGCAGTATTAGCAGGGCTAGGGTTGCAGATCGTGGGAGATTTCATTTTCACAGATCAATTCAAGACAAGCTGTACCTTATTTGAAAGCTGTATTAACTCTGGGCACACATTTGTACTATCGTCACCTTTTTATCTGTTAATAAGCCACACCCACCCATAGGTGTTTTTTCCCCCCCATGTAGTCTCACATATAGGACTCCTAATTTAAAATGTCTACCAGGAAAAAAAAAAAGAATTAATAGATGAGCACGTAAGAAAAATGCAGTTTAAATATATAATAGGAAAGAGCTGATAACTAATTTTCCATCCACAAAATACTTCCTTTGGATTAGACTAAAATATAACAAAACCAGCAGCTGAATATTATAGAAACATGTATTTCAGAACTTCAGAAATGCAAAGGCAATGCCATTGCCAGTGAGTATATTCTTAAAGGCTTTAATTGCAAAGATTTCACATTATCTGATACAGTAAAATGTAAAACATGAAATATTTAAAGATGCAGCTCTAGAAGCTGAGGAAGACAGCTCCAGACACAAGCCTGTGAGGGGTAGTGTTGGCTCGTACCGTTTATAACCCTTATAGAACTGCAGCCTTTGTAGCATAATCTAAACATTTACCTTAGTATGCATTGTATGCAAATAGCATCTTCTTCCATTTCTGAAATGCTACTGAAACATTCCTTAAGAAACACTCCCCCGCTCTTATATCCAATGAAGATACTGTTTTAGGAGGATCTGTAAACTCACAGCCTTGCTGTTCCACCACCTCCACCTGCAAGCACTTGAGCATTTGAAGACCAAACAGTAACTTTGGGTTTCAGAAACTTGAACGTACAACCAGGAAAACATAAAGATATTGCTGTGTGGCTCTCTCACTTTCAACAGACTCTCCTGAGTGGTCTTCCTCACCTCAGGAGGGAAACTAAGAGGCTTCTGAACCATCATCTCCAACAATTAGGGAAGAAAGCAGCACCTTGATGGCATTTAAATGAGAAAGCGCACTTTAAAAGAGTACACAGATGAAATGAAAGTGCCCCAAATATGCTGAGTCAGACCTCAGCGTGCATTTGTTTCACATTTCTCAGCAGGAAAAGCCATAGAAGTTTTAAAAAAACCCAAAGAGAACAATCCACAGACATACCTGTAGCAGAGCAGGTGTGGGAGGGCGCGGAGGCAGGTGAGGGGAGCTCAGGGTGAGGGTCACCCCCAGTGTACTCCCAAAGAAAAGTGCCAACTCAAAGTGAAAGGGGCGAGAGCAGGGATCAGGTTTCTTCAAATAAGAGCTCCGTCAGTTACTGCCTTTATCTTTGGGTAGCGCAGACTCACAGAGTTTTAAAAGCCTCTTTCCAAGCCGTTATTTGTATTGCCCGGGCAGGCAGGGTGCTGCTGCAGGGAGTGGGTGCTGCTGCAGCCCAGCTCCAACCCTGCCCTTCCACTCACACAAAACACCAGTAAGCACTGGAGCTCTTCTCTTTTCTGCTTTGCTGAGCAATTCATTTAGACAAAACTTTTTTTTTTTTTTTTTAAAGCCTGTTTCCTTGTTTTTAAAGGGGTAGTATCACTTTTAAACATTACGTTGGCATTATTACTTCCTTATATTATTCACCCGTAGGTAAAACACATATCTAAAGTCAGTAGTGGGTGAGGTAGTGAAATAGACATAATTTCAAAGCTATATACATAGCAAAGCTTATAGAGTATAGGAAAAATATTTTCTCTTTCAGAATGAAAATAATTAACATGTAAAAAGGCAACAATTTCTAGATTGCCATACATACCATTGCAATAAGTGTTGATACATTTTTATGCTATCCCAGGACATTTTATACTTTTTTTTTCCCTTTAAAATTAAAGTGATTGCCTAATCCGTGTATCCCCCCCTAGTCTCCTGATTTTATTAGATTATTAGGATTATTCTTTAAGGAGCTTTATCTAAGAATATTAGCAATCCAAAATCCACTGTTTCCCCCAAGGCACATCTAAAAAGTCACACTAAATGTACATGCCAGTCTACCACACTTTTGCCTTGCGAAAGTGACTGCCCTTACAACTTACTCCTCACATACAGGCTGTTTTCCCATATTCTGAATAACTTTGTCAATGCTATTTCTTTACTTTTCCTAAAATAAAGTCAAACAAATGAAAAAAAAAATCCCACCAATGACTTCCAAAGTGAAGTCATAAGGTTCGAAACCATATCATTTTGTTTTGGTTCAGTTTTTCGTTTTTTCTCACAAACAACAAACAACAGGGAGCTTAGATACTCCACAGCAATTTCAAAGAACAGCAGTAAAATAAATGCGAGAAAAATTGGCATCTTAAATCATTCCTAGAACAGAGAAGTGACAGCAATGCTTGCAGAACCTTCTCCGCACTGGAGTTGCTTAACCACATTTCCACTCCCTTAGTCACAGTAATGTGGTTCCAGAAATTCTTCTTTATACATAAGACTATTCCCCTTCACCTTAATAATAACACTAAACTTTAGAATTTAAATGGGTTTTTAATTGATTTCCTCTTGTTTCCATGTTCCTTGCTAGGCAATCCATGCAGTTTTTTTTACTTGGAAGTCAAAACTTAATTCAACACACCTGTGATGTCTGTATGTGCAGCTGGCAGCACTTTGTACGGTGAGCACACACCTCTTTTGCATCTCGCGTTTCCAGCTCTCACTCCGTGACCTGCAGATTTAGGGTGAAGATTTGGCTGTACTTGCAGTAACTCGTCGCTACCCTGTCAGCTTCAAACAAATGATGCATCTCCATTTGTTTGGCTTTTTTTCCTTTTTGCTTAGTCACGGTGTTAGTGTTACAGCACATACCATTGCAGTACTTGTGACTGACTGCTGGTCTCTAAATACATGACCTGATTGTCCTCTTGCACGTTCGCCGACCTTCTCATGCTAATGGAACTCCATTAACCTGGAGTTATCCAGGTTTTACATTGGGGTAATTAAGATACAATAAACTTCCAGACCTCCACCTTCTTCTCCTGGAAAAATGTGTTATGAGAGCTTACTCACCCAGGTAACAGCTGGATTAATGCATTACACATAGATGGCATCATATGAAAAGCAACAATTAATCAGCAGTCGCAGGCCAGAATTCTCTGAAGACCTCCCGATGGGAAAGCCAAAGGGCCATTAGCAGTATGTAAAGGAGGAAAACATGGATGGGAAAAAGCAAAAGAAATTAAAATCCCATTGAGAGAGAGACAATTAACACATATTGTTGACTATTTTTAAATGACACACCACAACTTATATTTCTCTGACAGTCTATCAGTTTAATTTGATAGATTGCCATTAGTAAAATTAAGGCTTTCCAAAATTACATTTTCTTCCCATTAAATGACATAGCAGTCATTACCAGTAGCACTGAGAAGGTGAAAAGGGACATATATTTTTTTCTTTTCCTTATAACTGGTGCACTTTTCCTTCTAACTGGTGCACCAGCACCCAGTGAAGATACGAGGCAGCAGACTAACGAACACAACAAGCCTTTCTCCCCATGAGGCATAATTAAACTGTGGAAGTCACTGTCACAGGGTGCACTAGAGGTCGGCATTTACAAGCAGGGTCAAAAAGGTACTGGCAAATCCACAGGGACTAGGTCCACCAGTGGCCATTCAACACACTCTCCAGTGGCAACATGCAGCCCAGGAATCCCCTCAACTGCTGGCTGCCAGGTTGGGGAGTGAGAGGGGAAATTCCCCACGCAGCCACTGCTGGAGGTTCAGCGCCGAGGTGGATGCAATCCTGAGCTGATGCAACACCAAGATTTGTGTTGTATTATCAATTACGCAACAAGATACATTATGCAAAAACATGTAACATTTCTTCCTTAAGCAGCAACCAGGGTTTGGAAGCCACGCATTAAAATGCCCCGTCTGCAGACTGCACTGTAGTTTTGAATTCCTAAACTGACCAGAAAATCATCTACAGAATTTCACAGGTAATTTGAGAAAGTAGTACTCCATCTGAGTAACCTTAGCCACATATTTTGAAACAAGATGTGCCCACTTAACGCCACATCTGCCACACAGGTACGGGTCAAAAACAGCCTAATCTCTCCAAATGAGCTTCACCAAAAATGTATTTGTATCTCTAAATTTTAGGCTTGTGATTTATGCGAGCTAAGATGAACAATGGCCATAATGCACAAATAGATTAATTTACCATTAGTCTAACTTATTTCAAGCATTAAGATAAACCTTGAGGAACTGGAGAAGTTTCACTGTATACTAAAACATGACCCTGCTAAGCGAAATCTGAGAATACTTCAAAAGAACATAATATGAAGGTATCAATTAGAATCTACTGACAAAAACATCTGAGATATTCTGTTTGCTTTTTGCTTTAATCTTCTAAAATGTGTTATCAAAAACCTCCAGTGTATTACATAATTGTGTTACAAATTAAGTTGCTTGCTCTTCTATTAAATGTATTTATTCAGCCAGTTGATCATATCCTTTCTTCCCTCCTCAATGTAAGGCTTATCCTGAGGATTGATATCTTCTCTTTTGCGATGTACAAAACCATGAGTTTGTCCAGGATAAATTTTAACTTTATAATCGACTTTACAATCCCTCTTTAGCTTCTCCTCCAGCAGGGTGACCTGTAAAATAGAGCATAGTAGTAGCTACATTAATGTAGCCATATTCCATGCTGCCACTCCCCATCTTATTCAGAATTCAACTCCCTAATTTAGCATTCAGGGTAGACATTAATAACCAAGCTCCATATGGGCAAACCAAAAAGTAAAATTATATAAAGAAATATATATAAATACAAAATATTTATATATATACTTACTATATTTATTTATACATATAAATATATATTTATAAAAATATAAATATATATTTCTTGTTTTATATATATATAAAGAAAAAACACCTTTGCAGGGCCTAGAAAATTTGTAAATATAAAGGCAAGCTCAACATGCACAAAGACATGGATATAATAAAAGTATTTCCTACATGTGAAATATATAACAATGCCAAATACACTACAACTGAACAAAAAGGTTCTAACCTCTAGATAGAATTTGCTGTATCCTACATGGTTTGTGGGTTCCTCAGACTGATAGAAAACAGAGTAAACGATAGGTCCCAGAGTACAGCACTCCAAAACAGCACTGTGATTTTGATAAAACTCTGTTAATTGGGCTAGTAGCCGTGCTTTTACAAAAGAGAGAAACTTTAGAAAGAAATATATATCTAGCTTTCATTCTTTCCCTAGGTTACATTAGCTCTTCTATGTTTAGGTCCATTTTTTGGCTTATTGTTTGACCTTCAAGCACTATTATGAGACTGATCTTTCACCACAATTCACTATGGAAATTTAAACACGCAGAAATGAAAGGTTATTAGCATACTTGATGAAGGGGAATGAAATCATCTTTTTCAGCAAAAATGAAAAAAGTGGGGTTCAGGAGATTGGCTATATCATCAGAATCCTTGATTAGTCCTAAAAAGAAACAAAAACAAACCCTTTTCAATTGACTTTTAATATGAAATCCAAATTTAAATACAGCACTCTGCTTCTGCAGTGAAAAGTTTTCACGTCTCAAGATATTTGTAACTATAAATACCATTTTTACTTTCAAGCTACTGTAACCATGGCTCCTAGAAGAATACCCTCCTAGATTAAAACTTGATTTAAGGCAGTTTCTGAAGATAAAGACTGAAAATCTGAACTAGTAAGACTTGAAAGATGCCTTCTTGGTATACAAGCTTGAGTTCATTTGAACTGACTCGGAAAGCCAACACTTCTGTAAGTCAACCGGAATTTACATTCTGAGAACATTAGCAAAGGGCAGTTTACCTATCCCAGCTTCTTCAGCACAGCATAAAAGGAAAGCTGCTGCTAAAATAACCACAATCTAAATTTACAGAGTAGCCAGATCAAAAATAACACTCTCTGCTCCTGGGTGAAGTTCTACCTCTGCAGCATGCAGAGCAGTAGTAAACAGGAAAAGTGAGCTAAATTCGGAAGATGACTGAAGGACATGTCTGTCTGTCCAGACCTGAAATAAACACATGACTGCTATGACCCATTCTGAATCTAGGGACAAATATCCACACCACCATCTTCTTTGCATAAAAGCCTTCCTACTCTGCTGAAAATTAGAATAGAATAGAATAGAATAGAATAGAATAGAATAGAATAGAATAGAATAGAATAGAATAGAATGGAATAGATCAAGTACCTAAGCTTATATTACCTGCTTATGTTACATCTTCATATTTACCTACCATAGAGAGATACACCAGCCTTCAATTCCGGGTATGTCATCATCAGGTGATGCACAGCAACACCACCCCAGCAAAAACCAACGACTCCTAATTTCTTTGCACCACACTGTTCCTTTAGATATTTCAGGACAGCATCAGCTTCTCTGGAACACACAAGCAAATGCAAATTAAGCACCCATACTAAAGCCAGTATTTGAAAATATGAAAAGAAAATGTAGAGATGCATATAAGTGTCCCCATATCATGCTGATACTTTGACACACTTTAAATAAATCATTATTTCAGACAAGTATTAGGAGTTGCTAATCTGAAATCATCAGAAAGAGTAAAAAAGAGAACTGAATGGAATAAAATGAAAACGCAACATGAATGTACATTGAAGGAGACCTAAAGGGATGGAAAGTAGAGGATTGATTAAACACCTACCTAAGAGTTTAAAAGCTGCATGAATTTCTGCTTTGTAAATGTAGATAGAAAAGGTAATAAAAACCTCTCTAGAGAATATGATTCATTAGACAGAAAAATGCTGACAATAACTGCAAGTTAGCATCTGAAATAATTGCTGCCGGAAATTCAATGTAACAAACGTGGTAGATATTTTCATAATTTGCAATGCAGCTTGAAATACACCTTGCCCAGATGCTGTATTCTGAGAACACCCACTTACCCCTGCGGCAGGTGTCATCATGCAGAGGCAGTAAAGTATTGATGGGATAAAGGTAGCAGTTAAGTCTTTTATGTCACCTCAAGATCATATTTTCAGGCCCAGTTCCTTGCCGCCTGGGGCACACGAGCTATATATCCCATCGATACATCAGCCTCACAAATGCCATGTTATTCTCCAACACACAAACACAGAAACAAATTAAGTGTGAAAAAATTATTTTTTCACTGGAGCTGGCACTTGAAACATGAATCTCCTGTAAGAAATGTCAGGCAGAGCCCAACCTGTCCTTCCCAGTGCAGCAGAGAGGGCACAGATTCCAGGCTAAAAAGTTTCCACAACAACTGAACTCTCCGAGACAGAAGCTCTCTGGAAATGATTCAGTTATGACTCCCATAACCTTCTCACCAAATACCTAAGCCTAGCAACCTTCAACCTAGCTACTGCCAACAGTCCAAGAAACATCTTTGCTTTCCCAGGAAGTTAATTAGTTTAATTTCTAATTGAGCCCTTCTCCAAATTTTCTTGCCAACAGCTTCCTTCTGTGTTACTAAGGCAGCACAGCAACTCTGCTAGTGACTGGTCTTTCCTGATAAATGCTCAGGCAGTCTTGCACATGGGAGAGGAAGACATGATCTCTTCAGGAGCAAGACCAAAACAACAGGCGACTTTACTTGCTAACAAGTTAAAATTAACCAACAGCTTAAATTAAAAATTTTCATCCTGGCTGGTTTTGCGTCAAATTTGGGAAACTGTCTGCTAACGGCTCTTCTAGTCACAGAGTTTTCTAACACTCTGCCTGGCACACAGGCTATAACAAAAGGATCCCAAAGTTCCTTTGGGATCCCATCTTCAGCATGCTAAAGAAAGCAGTCACATTTCTCTCCAGACATGTTGTATTTGTGCTGTGAGGAGACATGATAATTTGGACCACATGGTCTGCCTTTGAGATGGAGGAAGAAGCCCTAAGCTAACTGTTAGGTTTTCTCAGAAAAGAGCAAAACAAGAGGTGCTGCAAACACTGCTATAGTTCAGGAAGACGCCAGTGAAATCTGTTTCAAAATCTGCAACAGAAATCTAAAACAGGTATCATAGACTCCATCACTAGAAGGAAATTATGAGCTAAGGAAACCAAAGGATGTTCTAATATAATTGGGCTGATGTGCATCCAGGAAATCTGAGCAATGAAGAAAATGCCAACACTGCTGAATACAACTCAGCTATCAGCCAGCTATCCTAAAATGCTGGAAAAGGTTACAGTTACAGTTAGAGTTACACCAACAGCCAGACAGAACTGGAACCAACAGAGTTTCTTCAGCAGTGGTGCCAGGACAACATTTTAGGAGCTAATGAAGATGCCCTTTATCCCACTAACTACAGGAGCATATAGTCTGCATGTCTTGGCTCCCAGTACCCCGTCCCCTAGGGAGCTGCCAGCCCTCACTGGGCCCTGACAACAGATGATCCAGCCACCAGTTACCTGGGGACAGTTACACCATGTTGGGCAAGTACAACAGTGCAATCAAAAACTCTTTTGTTCTTTCCACGCATCTCAAAGTATCAGTCTGTTACACTCGGAGAGACTCAAGACAAGAATTATGCCTTTCCACTGTTTGTGTCACTGGTCATTTTTTAAAGCATGCTTTTTGAGGCAGGGGAAGCAATTAGCAGTCTGTATCAACATCAGATGACAAAACTCTTCACCCAGCCACTACTGAGAGAGTTGTCCTTGAACTCTGCTCAAGGCAAAATAAAAGGTCACTGGTTCCATTCACTTTTAAGGAGTGATTAAATAAGTCCACCTTCACTGGTAGATTAGCTGAATCCAATCTCAAAGGTAAAAAAAGGGCAGGGGGGAAAGCAATATCTGACAGCAGCAGGCAATGTGGTATCCGGCTCCCTGACATCTTACTTGTTTATTTTCCTGGCATCTCGAGTTTTCAGCCAATCATCAAACTTGCTGAAGTCATCAGAAGGCTTCCAAGGTTCTTTTCCTGCAAAAAAATCTGGGCAGATGGCTCTGCACACACAGATACACACACAAAAAACAAAATCCAAATTGAATTAATTAATCAAACACTGAAATTTTTTCCATGCCCTTCGTAGCATGCAAAGTTTCTACCCAGCCATAATTTTGGTTTGATTTCTTTTTTCCTGAGAAAGTACTGATTTAAAGATCATTGTTAACTGTTCTACAGAAATGCTGTAAGATTTATAAAACATTTATAGGCATCTATACAGATTTTTTAAATTACTAAACCACATAATACAATTTGTGATACAAATCTGGAAATTATAAATATTTTATCCCTAGTATTTTACCTGTTTTGAGTACATAATTTGAAACTACACACAGTAAACCAATAGATTATCTTGTAAAGGATGATCAAACTAGGTCCTGCTTACAATTTTAGATTTTGCATACAACATAATACCATTTAACATAAACCCATTGTTAATGGGTTCCATTTAGACAAAGACAATTATATAAAACAGTTATTTACAACAGAGCACATCATGAGGCTTACTTATGAACTAGAAAAAAAAATCCAAACACATGCGTGATGGACTGAGGTCAGGAAAGAACAAGTGAAGGGAAAACGTGGGGAAAAAAGGAAGAATGTTTTACCACAGATGTCATTTGGTGACAGGAAAAAGGGAAGTACAGTAAGAGTCCACTCAGTACTAAAGAGTTCCTGCATCACGAGGGTGCCCAAAGCTTGGCTTGGGATGACCTCGGCTGAAATGTGTTGTGTGACCAGCAGCAGAGCTGTGATGGTGCAGTGGATAATACAGTGGATTCTCCACATGCAGAAGGAAACATGCAGGCAGTCTGGAGGCTGCCATCACTAGGTCACCCCCAGATGCTGCTGTGTGTTCTCCCAAGCCCAGCTCACAGGGAAGTAATAGGATCTCTGGGAAACTGCTAACATCCTTCACTTATTAAATGCCTTTGTCTCTCTCCCTCCTCAGACACACAGCATGTACCACAATGATCGCAGTGAAACGAATGGATCACTTTGGCCTAAAGCAGACCAAAGTACGTTGCAAGCATTTTTTTTTCTTTTCTGTGTTTGACCATTTCTGTTAAAAAAGCAGCGATATCCACAGCATACTTGTGTTTGGAACGGTACAGGCAAAATTGCACAGCCTTTGGATAAGAACCCGTCAAAAAGGCTATGTATTGCTTTGAAAGTGAACCTTCCCAAGCCCACATAGAAGAACAGGTTCTTCCCCACTCAAACTCAGGACACTACAAGCCATCAGTCTTAACATGGTCTCTGAAATACAGCTCTCATAGCTCCTCATTCCATAATGCGCTTGGAAAAAATCCAGCTATTTTGCTCTCAATAAACATTGGTGCACCAGTTCAGCATCCTAAAGCAATCGGGGAAGATACACATGGGCTCTCTTCATTCAGACACTGCTGCCTGAAAACTCTCAGCTCTCCTCCTGCTTAGAACAACAGAAACACCAGCCTTCTTCTCATGACCATTGCAATATTAGCAGTACAGGTGGAGGGAAAGTAGGTATTACAAAAAGAAGTATGACACGGCATGAATCACAGGGAAAAATTACAGTAAGGAAGGTAGTGTGGAGAAATACCAATTCATCAGACACTGGGTACTTTTGACAGAGTGGACTCTTACTGCAATAAGGAAGCACGCTGTCACACTAGCAATTTGCCAGTATCCTGCACAGCACAAAAGGTGTACATGCAGTTTCACACTGAGAACAACTGCATGTGGTCACAAGACAAACATACTTCCAGTCACGGAGCAGAACAGGGGATGTCAAGTCCCCAGGAAAGAGAACAGCCGAGAGCAGACTATAAACCAATTCACTCTTCCAGTGTATCAGAAAACCCTAATCCTCAACAAAGTATCTTTCTCTCACAGAGACATAAGAGCTCCTTTCAGCTCCACAGACGGATCTCATCCACATGGCAACTGTCTGCTGACATCTGACTTCCCTCAGCTCCACAGGCTGAGAGCATTAAAGGCACCCTCTCTCAAAACTAGACCACTACAGAACTAGTTGGAGGTTTCCTTCTTGGAACTGCAGGCCAGTCCCAACCCTATACAAATATTTGTAATGTACAGTACAAATGGACTACGTTGCAGCCTATCTAGTTATTGCAAGATGTTGCTGCATTTTGGAATTTAACTGCTGTAGGGCAGTGAAAATAAGTGTAAAAGATTTAGGGGGAGAAGCGGACTGTATTTAATACCCCATGTGTGCATATGAATTATTCATATGTACATATTCAATATCATATTCAAAATACAACACTCATTCCTACTTCTGATGATGATTTTTTTTTAAATCCCATCACATAATTTAGCCTGAATGACTGCTTATTTTAAAAAGACTTCTGAAAACAGAACCTATACTTCTGTTTCAGAACACACTACTTTTTAAAGCCATTTAATATTGCTGGGAAAATTGTCAGGATCACTATCATATTTTCAATAATTCTACACATTCTATCTATGCAGTCGCTTCTGTAAACAGCGAAGTATAAAGGAAGCATGCTGTACTCTGCAACACTTCACAGCAATGATCCTTTGTGGTTTTGTGTTACGGAATTATATCACTTAAACTGCCCTCATAATAGTTTCCTCTCATGTATGGCAATAACAGTTCCAACATAAGGCTAGAAATCATTGAGTGGGATTTCTTGGAGGAAAAAAGATTTCTTACATGTATCCATTAGCTGCAAGCATATCAGCCATGTATCTGGTGTTTGGGAGTTGCCATCCAAATATATCATGAATCACAATCACAGCTCTGTCTGTGCTGGCAGGTTTGCAAACATACGCCTTGATGTGCTCAACTTGTACTTCCTGCCCACGGCCTCTGTAGTCAAATCTGTCTCCAATACCACACGGGCAGGGCCTCGATTCGTTAGCCATCTAGGAATCTACAGGAAATCAAAAAGGAGAAACAGTTAATATAATTTATTTGCAGTAACAGCTGTTATTATGGGTCATTATCTTTATACAGTCCCATCCAGACACCTAGTAATACCCATGTGACATTGCAAAGTTAGAAGTGAAAGCTCCAGGTGTTTATTGTAATCAGGCTCTTGACACCAGCCCTCTCTGGTTAACATAAATATTCATGATTCCGGGTCAGTCGCATAACCCAGGAGTGCAGTAAGGCAGAAGAAGGTCTTACATCACTCCACTATTCCCAGCTTTGTGCCTGGAGCAATCCAGCATGTGATGAATTCTCACACACTGTGCTTCATAACCATTCCTCTCATGTGGTCTTACAGCTCCTCCTCACAGGCTGGCACCTGGGAACCTCTTGCTGGTAACTCCTGTGAGACTTCACTGGCAGCATGCTGCTTTTCTGACTACTCTTTCCCTTCAGGTTTTCATTGTGCACGTCTCCTTTTCCTTCCTCCCCGGGGAATCCAAGGCTGCTGCTGCCTACATGCACTTTGCTGGTCCCTTGTATTCTCTGTGGTGTGCAGCCCTTTCCCAAGGAACACATCATTAACTGGCACCTCTAAAAGTTCTAATAAATCAACTGGAAGAAGGTAAACACCAGAGAGTTTTCTCGGAGAGTTACACACTATGTAATCCAAACTAAGAGTGGTCAGAGGAATACAGACACACACCAGTGTTGTGCAAATAACTTATCCTCATGTATCACTGATACGCAACTTCTCCAGAGGTGTACATTTTAAAGGACAAACTGGAAAATACTCCATTTCTCCTCAAGTGAAGAAAGGTTTCCTAAGAGTTTATGACTTAAGAGGTCTTCTCAGAAGAATCCCTCAAGGTCAGTTTAATTTCTTGTTCCTTTCAACTGGAGATAGGCCACTGTAGCATCTTTTTAACATATGACTAACTTTTGATGTCATCCACCAAGCAGTAGGTGGTCAAACATAGAGCCTTTTTTCTATCCTAGTCTGAAGCTGCTTAGCCTAGCTCTGCCATCACTCTTAACTGATCCAAATGGCACTGCTTGCTTATTAACAAGAGCTAGTCTCTCCTCCTGTGTCAGTGCACGCACTGGAACAATATACCTTGGTCTGGCTGGTCCCCTTACTAAAATGAAATGCAGCATGCTGGCAATAAAAATCAAATGCACTCTTCAATGACTAACTATTTTTTGTTAGGAACATACCTTAACCATTTATCTACTTCTGGATTTTCTAACTAATTCAAGCAGATGTCAAATAAGACTTTTAATATACTTCCAATACTCCCTTCCCTCTTCAATTTCTCTTCTATTAATGTGTGGAACATGGTAAATGGTATTAGAAACAAAACAAGAAAACATAGTGAACAACAAAATTAATTACTCCAAATCCTGCCTCTTTACACCAGTTATGTTCTTTCCACAGGACAACACACTTTGGGGTAATCCATGGAGAAGCTCCCAGCACTGAGAACTGGTCCCTTTTAAGGATGTCTCCCAACAGTGCCTTTTTTGAACAAAGCTCGTCTCCTGACCTTCTGCAGTCAATCACCACCTAAATCTCCAACAGATGCAGCTGGAGTTTAACTTGCCAGTTATACAGAGTGCAGCTTTGCCAGCATTACAATGAGGCAGAAGTGCCTTTTCCAAATCTCAGGCAAAGAAAGCAAAGGCATGTGACTTCAAACACACCCTGTACAACTGACCAGACTTCCAACAACTCTCCAACCATTGTGCTTGCCGAATGTTTTCCTTCATGAGCAGTTCATCTGAGCAGTAAGTTGACAAAAATTGATTTCTATTTAAGTGAAAGACTTGTTTATTTTAAAATAAATGTTTAAAAATACATGTTAAAACACAAGCTGTGTTTAAACAAAAAATAACAGTATTGCCAAGGCTTAATAAACAAAAACAACACGCTGCATCAGTAAGTATTTTTTAAAAGCATAATAACTTGAAGAGTGTTAACGAGTTATTCACAGAAAGGCATAAAACATGTTGTACTGCTGAGGCTGTCCCTACAAACATGCCAAAATTCACAGCATAACCTCTCTTTGAACAGAGTGAATACCTGTTAAAAACACTAATTAAACCGACATGGATACAGATTTTTAAAAGTACAAGAGAATAGTTCACAGAAGGGTTTAACAGAATGTTGAGCAGACCACGAACAAAACACTTTTTTCTCCCCACACCCCATAGAATTTAGCTGGTACGGCTAAAATACATTTAAATAAAAACTGCAGGAACGCAGAATATTTAAAGTTGCTTATCAATTTAATTCTAATTTTCACCTATATGTTATTCAATCCCCACAAATTTGATGAGCAGAAGGTTGTTAGTTTAGGAATCTGATTCTATCTGCAGTTTAGATCAGCTCTTTGCACTTGTAGGTGAGATCAGCTCTTTGCATTTGTGAAACTTCAAATGAAATACAGTTCAGATTTGTCTACAGCTGACACACATGAAGACTTTTTATCATATCAGCTATTCGGGTTTGATCTCCACGTAAGAAATCAGCTGCATTGCCATCTCTTTCGACTTTTCTTTCAAAGCTTTATGAAGTGTGAACTTCATTATGACTTTAAAATACTGCACATCTTGTCCTTTTTTTTTTTTTTCAAAAAACTACTCGTTATACTTCACAGTCTCACAGTTTTAGACACTTTGTCATATTTTATCAAGCCCACACACAGGATATTTACAGCCCAGATCTGGCATTTCCATCGCCCTGATTTACCCTTCCCAGTTTCAAGATTTAGACTATCACATAAGCCCCCTCTATAAAATAAAACCAAATAGTAAAACAATTTTGGTAAGACCCAGTTTAGGCAGAGAGTCCAATCTGTGAACTCCTAATATTGAGGCCACAGCACAACAGCACCCGTCCTGTTCTCCCAACCACAGTGGTGAGCCTGGGGCTACAGCATCAACACAGAAATAGGTAACAAGACTCAGAACAGCCCTAGTTTGAAACACTTATCGTACATTCCTTTATTTATTCTTCCCATTGCTCAGAAACATCTCATCAGCCCTTTTCCTGCTTCCTCTATGGCATGTCATCAAGGTAGCAACTCCCTTCCTTCTCTTCCAGCAAGCTCTGATCCTCAAGTGTTAGGTGTGCCAGACACAAAACTGGAAAAAATGGGCTCTATGAGAGCCTGTACTGTAACAGAGGCTTCTCCTACCTTTAATGAGAGCTGGTGATGCTTGGATGGTAGAAGTTCAGATTTACTAGTCTATTCTTTGAATGCTACTTCTTCCGTGATAAATACTTGAGTTGCTTAATGTACATCCCCTCTCAATTGAGTTTTAGCGGGTTGAGTCATTTCAATGTGATTTTGCACTATTTGGCCAATCAAGTTTAAATAACTGAGAATTGTAAGGAGATTAACTCGGCGTTTGGGAACTAATACTGTTTGTCATGGTTAAAATTCCCTTAAGCAGCTCAGCATACCTCTATTTATATTTGTTTGTATGAGAAAAAAGATCTTCCTCATGATGAGCAAGCATAAACAGAACACCCTCAGGGTACAATTCAAATCATGCTTCTTCCAACTCATTGGCTTATCAAGTTTTACTCATATCCCAAGGCAATCCAACTTTGCCATGCACAGGCGATAAACCGATAAACAATCAGTAGTGCAAAATAAAATGCAGGGTGTGACAGTGTTGTATCACAAGGGCTCCCTCTGAAGAGCTCAAAAGTCCTAGGGAGAAGGTGACATTCCACCTGTTACCATAACCCAGCAGGCTACAGTGCCTCGCTGCACACAGAGACAACGTTCAGCAGATTTGCTCACTACAACTTCCCACTTCCTAGGAAGCCAGTTTTTCCCCTGACAGTGGTGTACCATTACCACAGGATTTGACAGGGACCATTCAGAGTGTTGATTATTGTAATTAGAGCCAAGTCCCCTAAAAGCCTTCTTCATGACAATCCAGGAGAGGGGCCCCATCTTGTGGACACTTCCCGGAGCGAGGATGATTGCGAAGCTGTTAAACACAGTGTTTTTAATGCAGTGCTGAAAAGCTAGCTATGATAGCTGCATCAGATCTCGCCTAAGTAGAGTTATATCTGGGCTGAGCTGCTAAGGGTTATGCTCAGAAAACGCCTCCTTTCTTCCTCCAGAGCCAAACCATCCTCCCCTTTCTGCAGGTGTGAGGAATCCTGCCTCCATACAGCTTTTGAAGACCTGGAGGAAAGTTTACGTGAATTGAGGAAGGGGGATGAGGGCAGAGGGGAACAAACAAGTGACAAAGTCAGGGCATCCACCACCACCAAGATCAACTAACTAAGCCTGGGGACAATTTCTCAGGGGCTTCAGAAGCTACGGCACCTGTGGCTAAGTCCTGTGAACGGCAGGAGAGCCTGGATCCCCACCCAGCATGGCTGGAGACACCCTATGCCAGCATTGACAACCCACGGCTCAGCACATTTGGAGGAAAGTACAGGCAGGCTCTCACACCTCTTCTGTAAAAGCTGTTTACACAACCTGCAGCTGCATCCTACACGTACTATCCCACAGCTACAACACCCGGCTCGGTAGCCTCATCTAAGGAGGCTCCCTACTGAATGCTTGTTTCTAAGAAGCTGTGCAGTATTTGGGAAAACAAACAGGAGAAAGCTGCTGTGCGTGCAACACGTGTTTCAAACAGGTTTTTAACACCAACAACCCAACTGGCATTTTTCAGTTCAGGACAAGCTACAGCAGCCGCTGCTTTCCCAGCTCCCTCAAATTTACATTTTCCTGATCGGCAAAAGCTTTGTTATGCTCAGCACTCATCTCCTACAAAAATGATGTTATGTATGGCGCTGCCTTCACAAACCCACAGTTCTCGGAAGATTTTTCTAAGGTCATGAAGGCACACAGGGACAAGGACCTGGAGCTCTCCTTGGAGTCCTTGGGAATGCTGCAGGACCAGGACCTGGGCATTTGGCTACGCCAGATACAGCTAGCGACCTGGCATGGCCACCTGGGGACATGGGTTAACACAGAATCGGCTTATGATGCAGAAAGCACCAGGTCAGCACAGGGATTTCAGGGGTCAGAGGGGGTTTGGGGTTGAAGGTGCCCATGGAAGTTCCCTTGTCCAGTCTCCCACCGCGGGCCAGGGCAGTTTCTAAGCCAGACTGCACCGCTCAAGGCTTCACCCTGAGGGGTTTTGAAACTCTCCGAAGAAGGAGACGCCATCTCTTCTCTGGGCAGGTTGCTCCAGAGCTGGGTTGAGAAACCCCCTCCCCGCCTCAGAGCCCAGCGCTTCCCCCAAAGCCTGCTGCCTCCTCGCCTTCCCCCTCGTCCTTCTGACAGGGCCCCCTCCATCGCCCCTGCGAAGGCGGCTGCAGCCGCCCGGACTCTCCTCAGCCCCTCGCCCCGTCCGCCCCGACTCCTCGGCCTCGCCCGGCCTCGTCCCCCCAGCCCTCAGCCACCGGCCACCGCCCGCCCCGCTCCCGCTGCCCAGCGTCTCTCTCGCCCGCAGGGGCCCACGCCGCGCCCCTCCGCGGGCAGCCCGGGCCGATGCCGCCTCCACCGGCGGCTCCCCCGCCCTCGGGGGCGCAGCCGTTACCAGTCGCGCCCGATGCCCGTCGCCGTGTGGGGACCGCGGCCTATCGCCCGCTCGGCGCCCGGCCTGCGAAGGGCGGCGCCGGCTGCGGGGATCCGGGGCGGGGAGGGCTCCGGGCAACACTCAGTGCCCCACCGCGGGCGCCTCACCTCCGCCGGGCCCAAAGCGGCCTCGGGCTCCTGGGACGGAGGGTTCCTGGCGGCGGTGGGGGGCCTGCTCACCGCCGCCGGCCTGCCGGCGGGCGCTGAGGAGACAGGCCGAGGCCTGCGGGGGAAAGTGGCGAGTGTGGGGATGGGTAGCACTTCTCCAGGGCCCCCAGTAGTGCCCGAAACCCAGCCTGGTGTTGCAAAGCATGTCCCCTCCAGAGAGGTACTCAAAAAACCCCTCGCACATGTATGTATTTTTCTTCTGAGGGAATTTGACTTGGCAGAGCAGGCTGCTGGGCTGCAGAGCACAGAGCTGCTGTTGCCAGCTTTGCAGAAGCAGGGCACCCCAGGGAGAAGGTGAGCCGCCAGACATAAGCCATGTGCTTACAGCAGGGCATCTGTCTTGCCTGTAGTACAGTGCTTATGTTTTCCATTTAAAGTTTCATTCTGACTATTGAACGTCCTCCATCACCACACCGATAGCCATACCCATGCTTACACAGGTGCTCCAAAGGCGCAGACAGACATGCTGAGAGGCCACACAGGTTCTGGCTGGCAGACCAGAAGCCGAGCAACATGCAGCTCATAGTGCCTCTAACGTCAGGACTTCTCACAGCAATGTTGTTTAACATACTCAGTCTATTGAGGTATGCAGACAACCAGTATAGTTACACTAATAGGATAGCAATGTGTGAAACTGTCAGGTATTCCTGATACCAAAGGGAAAGTAATGTCCGTGCAGATAGCGAGCCTTGATTTATGGCTACATTAACAAGGCAACAAGCATGAGAAACTGACAGATGTTGTAGAAAATGAAAAGAGACGTGGGTCCCTTAGAGGATCTCTGAGTAAACACAAGTTGCCAAGTCATTACCAATGCAATGAAATGAAAAAAAAAAACCCAACAACAAAACAGATTAGCAGCTCAGCAAAACTGGAGCCAGTTTGGTAAGAGGAAAGAGGAATGTTTACTATTGTTTGTACATTGTATACTTGGGAGGAGATAAGGGCGTTAAAGGGGAAAAGCTTGAGAGAGGAACAAGGAATATAATGTAAAGGAAACAATATAATCAGGACGGAGTAGGGGTACCTGTTTGTGAGCCCTGTGCCTGATCACCACAGTTTGGACCAGGACAATAAAGGCAGTGTTTCTGCAGTGTTCGTGCCTGGGTTACTTCCACAGCTAGGAGGGACTGGTTATACCTTTCCTGGATGTTGATGAAGTAATACTAGAAGTGCCTTTCTTAACGTTGCCAAGGGAATACCTGGAGGTTGCCACCTAACAACATCGCTCCTTCCTAACTGCTTAACATAGCCAAATGTTCATTTCACATACGGGAAATTCTGCTCAGTATTTCCGTGTTAACAGCTATGACCACCAATCATCATTCCAAAATAAAGCCTGAAACTACTCGGGTAAAGTCAAGATGAAGTCATACTCACTAGCATAGACAAATGGGTAAACAATATCATTACTATTGATGTCATAATGCAGAATAATGAAGCAAATACAAATCAAGATAAATTTAAATAACTTTTTAATGCCTAATTGTCCTTTAGTCAACTTTGATTTCACAATCTTGTGTAAACCTTGTAAAAAATAATTAAGAACTATAAATTAAAATGTCCCTATTTTTCTTTGTGACAATTTTCAAAACCAGATAGTTTTCCCTTGGCTGTTTTCTTCTTTCAAATGAAATCAAACACTGATCTTGAAGCCTACTGTTACTTCATGCTTTGTCAAATAAACATTTTGATCCAGTCAATCATATCTTTTCTAGCTTCTTCAATATAAGGTTTATCCTCAGGTTTCATATCTTCTGGCTTCAATTGTGCAAACCCATGAACTTGTCCAGGATAAACTTTAATTTTATATGCCACTTTACAGTACTGTTTCAACTTCTCCTCCAATAAGGTAATCTGTAAAAGAGAGATTTTTTTCATTATGTTGCGGATTTGTGTTTTTTCTTAAGTTTGCCAAACACCTTTTCTCATACTGCTACATCTTGGTCTTTTCTCAACTGTCACACTTGAAGCAGGTTCTGTGGCTCAACAGATGAGAAAACTTCTTTTTGGAATACAAGACTGAAACATTTTTTAAAAGTATGGGTCAGTCTAAGAACCTCAAGATTTACTGCAAAGATGGTTTGGTAAATCTCATTGCCATAAAGGAGCGGGTGCATTTCTATTCAGACACTTAGTTTGGTAACCTAATTTTAAGCTCTGATCTTGAGAGAACATATTCCCTCAGTGACTCTCAATCCAAAATATTTTTATAGGCTTAGTAACAGAGTTTAAGAAACCAAAGGGTTGGTTTTTTTTTAGTTTACTGTATGACAAAAAAGACACCACTCCTGCACCATCTTTTCGGAAGTACACACATGCTTACACACACAGTACTAATAATATGATTATGTACCTGTATACATGTGTAGACACATTTTTATGCTCATTTCCATTAAAAATTAAGAACATAGGAGAATGAGCACTTATTTTGCCCCTGCAAGCTTATTTCTACCCACTGTGCAGGTTAGAGACAGTACTGTAAGTTATTTCATGTTCACTTTTTTTTTTCCAGAGCCCTGGATTGCTCAGTGCAGAAAACAGTGTATTTGAAGATTTATTTTTTTTTTTTAGCGCAGGAATTTTTCTTACACAATCTGCACAGAGAGAAAGCTTCAGGAGGAAAGATATGGTTTTAATGTGTAATGCATCATGGAAAAAAATTATTTATGAAAATTGTGCCCCTGGGAAAAGGACACCTTCACCATAAGAAGGGGACAGGGAGCGCAGGAGTTGTTTTCCTGTGCAGAGTAGACACATATTTTGAGGTAGAGATCAACGTGCTGAATAACACAGAGGTAAATATCAATTGGCTTCTGCATTCCCAGAGTGTACTGCCAGTTCCCCAGTTAAACCCTACTCCTACACAGCAAACTACTCTAGAGGCGGTAAGCTACCCTTGTCACCAAAGAGAAAGAATTTACACTCAGAAGAGGGCACCAGTTTCCTACCCATATATTTTTCCACCCTCTCATATAACGCTTACAATAGAGGTTATATCAGAATATAGAAGGCAGCCAGGAGTCAAAACAGAGGCCACAAGTTGTCATTGTCATACTTAAAATTCACGCCCACTCTTCTGACACAGTTCGTTTTGTCTTCCTGTACCGAAAGCAGTTAGTCATTGTTCCACATCATCAAAAAGTTCAGTTACTAGGCTGATTTTTTTTTTCCATTCAAATTGAAACAATTCAGTGGTTTAACTACCTGTTGTCTCAACCATAGCAGCAATATCCAAGTTTTTGAGTTGTTTGGCTCCTACCAGTTGGATCTTCCTGCCCAGTTTCACACTCTGCTTGTCCAGCCACTCAGAGACTGATGACTGGTCTTTACTGCATTTCTCACCTCAAAAAAAAAGCTTTGAATAACCTAAGCAAGATACAGGGGAAGTTGAAATATAAGCAAAACCGTCCAGCCTGTCTGATTTTTCGTATCTGAAAATGGTTTCTAACAAACTAGGATTTCTGTGTAGGATAAAAGAACTATGGGAAAAAGAAAATTATTTCCAGTGCAACTTACCTGATCATAAGAAATAGTGTGGTCTTTCTCACCAAAAATGAAAAATGTGGGATTTAGTAAATTGTATCTTTCTTCGGAGTCCCTAATTATTCCTGTAATGTATTTGAGAAACAATCTGTTAGTGAGGTTAACAATCTTGCAAAACAAATGACAAATTAAAAGACAAAATTTCTATTTAAGATTACTTAATAAATACTTCTTTTAGATCAGGACAGTTTCTATTCTGATGGAGAAAAAAGCAGTTAGAAAATATGTTTCCCCACTCTCCAAGTGCTAAAAAAAGATTAGAAAATTTCTGTGCAGAAGGAAACGATTTTTTTTTCTGGTTTACACCATTCTTAAATTTTGATACCGAGACAGCATATTGCTGAAATAATCATAAGTAAAATCTACAACTCACCTTTGAGTTGAGTATTTACAGAAATTGTTACAAAGCAATAACTAGACTTACAAACTATGCATAGTTGTGTGAGCCCATATAAGTTTGCATGTGTTCTACACTACCATAGAGGGACACCCCAGCGGTTAATTCAGGATTTTTCAGCATCAAGTGATGTACTGCCATTCCACCCCAGGAAAACCCAACGATACCAATCTTCTTTGCACCGCATTGTTCCTTTAGATACTTCAAGACAACATCAGCTTCCCTAAGACATATAAACAAAAGTAAACTAAGGAATCTATTGCAGAATCAGTACTTAACAATTTAAGAAATAAATTAAAGGATACATGTATTTTTCTGCATCTGCACCCCCAATTGTTTAAAACAGAATACTTTAAAAACACATTTCAGCCCAGAGCAGTGACTTCTCTTCTTAAATGGAAGTTAACATCTCTGATCCTAGTTTAGGAAAGTACAGGTGTAGGTACTTAAATACTTACCTGAATTGTGACCTGCTCCTTTGTTTTCAAAATAAGCAAATTTTTAATTGAATCACTTTGTCTAGGACAGGACAACTAAAGACAAGACATATCTGCAAGTAGAACAACATCTTGCATTATGGATTGCAAGAATAGATAAGCTTCAGTGTGCTATCTCTATAGAGTCCACCTAGTTAGATAAAGATTTATCTTGACTGTGTCATTCCTGTTGCATGAGTTAATATTAAAATACCCTACCAAGCCCACATGTAATAATACTACACTAAAGTAGCAATTATTCAAAATTAAGTTGTCAGTAACTATAATGTTTAAAAAAACAGGTATTGCATGAGGTATAATGCAAAAAATATGAAAATTGGTTTTAATTGCTAACTTTTTAGGTCTTAATAGTTTTATTTTTTTCATTATCGACAGAATTTCAAATGAATTTTAAATACAGACTGCATACACTAATAGCTATATTTTCAAGTATTTGTTGTATTAGTGCGGTCCTCGCAGGTTTGGTTAGGCTGACAAAAAACTAGTACAAGAGTGACATGAGGAGGTAATTGCGTCCTTGGCCTGTAGCCAGGGGATGCACTGTGAATGGATGGGCTTTCTCAGATTCAGTTTGTTTGGAAGGAGACTAAGTCAGTCATGGGTACGTTGGATTCCTTGTGTGCTGAAAGAGCAATGGATCCGACCTTGAGGTCAGCTACAGGGGAACCCTCAAAAGACAGCACAGCCCTGTCCTTGAGGTCTTAATTGTTTAACACAGTGCCCACATGTCTGCTTACTCTTTGAAGTAGGATTTTTTTACATGTGCTAGTTATTTGTCTTTTCAAAAAATTTGGTCACAGCTTCTGCAACGATATGGTCAAAAGCTTTGCTGAGAGATGTGGTGATAGATGCTGAAGACACAATGATGCTTTCCATAATTCAGGGAAGCCCTGTTACAGTCAATTGTAGGCTCTACAGGTAGCAGGCCCTCTCTTTCACATTGAGAAAAACAGTATAGTTGATCAGATGTATCTTAGGTTTTGGGCCTTCTGGCAAATTTGGATCTAGTGCTGCTCAGGAGAATGTCATCTGCTCCTATCATTATCTACATGCAGAAAGCAAGATGAGCAAGTGACAACTAGTAGGTGGCGTGAGCAGCCGTGGAAGAGTTTGCCTCCTTACCTTGAGGGACCAGAGGCAGAATCAGCACTTGTGGGTGAGAGTGCTGGGTATTTCATAGCCTGTGAAACTCTGGCTATGGGCCTGTGTGGCCAATATAACATAGTTAGAAAAGGGCCCAGGAGAAAGATGCAGCCAGCTTGAGGTGCCACTTCTAACATTTCACACAAATTTCCTGTGTTTGCTGGATGCTCTTTAAAATTAAAGTACAAATATGTAACTTACTTGTCCACTTTCATAGGATCATGAGCTTTCATCCAGTCAGCAAAGTCAGCCCAGTGATCAGTAGTTTTCCAGGGGTCTGTCCCCTTGAAGAAATCTGGGCAGATGGTTCTGTGTGAGACAAGGAATCAAGTCAACTTTCATGTCCAGATAGGGAGAATCTAAAGATGTCAAAATGTCTCCTAATGTCTTTTCTGCTCCAGAGTACACATCTATATGGTTACTATCTGAGTCATATTCTACTCATCCTGTTCTGGCAATCAGCAGAGCTAAAAATACATGTCTTTCTATGGAAAAAGACCCCACAAATAAACTTAATGTTTCCTTAGACATACTTAATATAAAAGCAAAGGGATTAAGCAACCTTCCTGATGCTCTATAAACACACATCTCTTTGCTAGTAAGAGCTAAAGCAACTCTTCAGAAGATTGGTTCTGAAAAGTTTGTACAACTTATAGATAACAGTGGTTATCTTTTAATCACCCAGCCTGCCACATAAACACAAACACTGGCACTTCATGACTCTCCTTGTGGCTTTGTGCTCAGGTAGCCATTTTTGATGGGTCCATTTTAGTAGCTTTGGTGGCCTCATGGGAACAATTTGTCCTTTTGCAGTTTTATTTGCTCAGACTGAAATGGTATTTTTGCCCTATGTGTATGGGAAACCATATACATAGCTTTGGGCTTGGTGATCTCTCTGCATTTAAGAGGAAGACAGGAAAGAGAATTGCTTACATGTATCCATGACCTGCAATCAAATCGACTATGTATCTAATGTCTGGGAACAGCCATCCAAATATATCATGAATCACAATCACAGCTTTGTCTGTGAAAAAAGATGGTCTGCAAACATATGCCTTGATGTGCTCAATTTGTACTTCATGGCCAAGGCACCCATATCGAGATCTTTCTCCAGTATCATATAGAAAAGGATCAGCCATTTGGAAACCTAAAAATAGAGAGCAAGAAAATAAACACAGATTATTAAGGGCAAATAAAGGTATATATGACCTGCAGAAAGTAGTTCATAACTTCTGTAAATAATATTGACATCCTTGCCTGAAACTAGAAAGTAGAAAAAAGCACAAGCAAAGTTCCAGTGCAGAATGGCTCTTTACCCATTATATGTTATTAAGTTGAAAATAAAGAGAAGTACCAAAAGCAAAGTTATAAAATTATAAAAAAAAAAAACCTGCTTATGTAGCTTCTGACTCTCACATGACATTTGTTTTGTTCCCATACCACTTTGTCAGCACTGGTGTGGAGAAGTATGGCTTTAGATGTCACTCTGTCCCCAGGAATGGGGCCATCACATGTGTCTTCATGGGGAATCCCATGCTGGTTTCTCTGAATTATGTGACTGGTGAGGACCACAGCACTCAACTGCTATAGTTCAGTGCTTCTGTCAGTGCTGGCACCTGCTGGGTAACCCGTGCTTTCGGTAGCAGCATCACAGCTGTTCTGGGAGCCGATGCGCTGGGCGCAGTTGGTGAAGGACTGCAGTATGGATTTGTAAATTAGATTCCAATGCCCTAGGCCCATATGCCCTTGAAAGGGATTGCAAGAAAACAAACAGATATGCAAAATCTCATTCAAAATATGTGAGAGTGTCCTTTGTCCTCTTGTCCTTTCTTCAAAAACATCAATTACAGACAATGAGCCAGTAGCTGTACTAGAGAGATTAAAGTCAAAAGTTGTTCTGATTCTATGTCTCAGGAGCTTGGAATGGACTCCGTGCAAAAAGTAAAATGTGATCCTGTAATTAAAAGTAGTGTTATAATGCATCTATACAAGCAATCCAATTAACTCTGCAAGGGCAGTGCTAGTAGTAGCATTTCCATGTACTGACTTTGAAACTGTCCTTGGGGACGCATATACATTATGACTGTCTCTGTTTCATCATTTCTGCATGACCCTATTGTTTCTGTTCACGTTGTAACACGTACTTCAGAAAACTATCTACTCTTCGTGGAAGTGCATCAAGTTCTGGTGAAAATGTATACCTTCCTCAGCTCCCCATTAACCACAGCAGCGGAGAGCTAGGTTTCACTGAGTAATGGGAAATTTTGCCTGGGCAATGCAGACACACTTGCAACCAGGGTGCAGGCAGACTGGAGAACAGAGAGTTGGTGCCACAGAGACTCACTGCTTGCTAATGCTTTACACACTTCTCAGCTTGCATGATTTACACAGGCTCAATAACAGCATTCAGACTTTATATGCACTTAGACTGCCTTATACTCAAGATAATCAGCCTTCCCAACATACAGCACAGAGACACTGTTCTTCCTCGTCCTCTCCCAACCCTGAGGCTGCTGTCACCAGATCTGGCAGCACTGAGTTCGAGTAAATATGCTTGATTACAGCCGTAACCCCTGGCTGATAGAGTGCGGTGTAGAGATATAGAAACTGGGCAAATGTGGCTTTACGGCTAGATTCAAGCTGCTTCAGAAATAGTCATGAGGTGGATGATCTCACATTGTGAGTGATCTGAGAGCTGATAACATTTGTTAATTGCTCTCCCACCTTTCTCAACATCTGAATGACAGGGTTAGTGCTAGGAAGCATAAAGTAGCCTGATCTTCACGACTAAATTCTCTATTGGTTTGGCATCATATGAAAGTGGAAGTTGTAACATGCATGGGAGAGTATCTCCTTGTTTAAGCCCCCCATAATAGGCCTGAAAATGCTTGAGAGGTGTCTATTCATGCAAAGGATGAGTGAGCTTGTTGAAGTACAGGAGACTGCCTGGAGAATTCACAGGCACTCCCAAAGATAGCTAACACCATTGGCTTCTGAGATGGTAGCCACTATCTTACTCCACTAAGGTCTTCTTTTTCAGCCCGGCACAACCTGTGGTGTCCCCTTCAAGGAAGTAGTGTTTAGGAGGCATTAAGCTTTGCAATAGTTGTGAAACAGCCTACTCCCTAACTGTTGGTTGCTTCCCATAAATCATTTCTTTGGCCTATCTTGATTGATGCCTAGCCAGCTGGCTCTCCTCCAGGCACCAGGCTGCAGAGAGGAGACCTAGTAAATAGTCAGCCACACCTGAACTGCTTAGAAGTCTTTGATGAGATCCTGTTCAGTCAGAAGCTTTATTTGTTCCCGCCTGCTTTGTCCCACGCAACATGGTGTGGCGCAGGAACAAGATAGGATATTTCCTACCTGTCCTGTCTCACCTCATTCCCTCTTCCCACCAACTTCAGCCATTACACTTTTCCTTTTCCCGCTTTCCCCGTGGCACGGTTCCAAGCAAGCAGCATCTTGCCTTTGTGCCCCGCTCCTCATCGCTGAGCTCCAGCACTGAGAAGACACGGGGCCTGGTGGGGGGGAAAACTGACTGCTGCCAGCAGGGAAAAAAGACTGATATCTGTGAGTCTGCTGTCACCCTTCTGCTCGTGAAGAGAAGGCCTTCTCACCAGTTATACTACTTCTCCTTGGATGTCTTGATACTATTCAGCTTTCGTACAAATAATGCAGAAACTGAGTTATTTACTATTATCACAAGGCAAAGGTGGGCTCCCTTGTGTGGTAGGACAGACCTGAACTACTATATTTTTAGGGTGCAACAAATTACATGGTTAAAACTTGCTGAGTCTTAGTTTTCAATAGCAAAAACCAAATGCCTTGTTGGAAGGTGAGGCTAAAAACTTTTAAAAACAATTAGGTGAAACAGGGGCAAAGATAGTCCTATGGATAATCCCCACTTCTCAGAAAGTGAGTATGAGCACGTGATCTCAAACCGCTGTGCTCTTTGGCAGCACCTTGGAGACTAATGATGCCAAGGTGTGACATCTCTGCTCTTTTCCTGGTTCCAGTGATAACATTTTAAACTCCAGCAATAATTAATTTCACTGGTAAGTGCTCCAATGGACCAAACAAGGAACAGAATGGGAATTCATTACCGTAAGAGCAAAAGGAATTATTATGGTCCTATAATGCGATCTTGCTACTGATGGACATACAATGGTTACCAGTGTCCTCAGAACTGTTGCTGTGCCACAGCAAAGACTCAAAATGAAATCCAGTTTTTCACAAAGTTGACATCCTTTATCTTCACCTTATCTGCTCCCTAATACTTTCTTTGTGCATTTTTTTTTACTGAAACCAAAATAAAAGTCACTCTTTAAAAGACTGGTTTTTGATGAATGTTTCATGCTTTTTCAAAGAGCTGTATCTAATTGCTTAGCCATTTCAGATTTCTCCCTTTCAGCATAGTTAAAAGTAGTTAGCCTTTCTCTGCTGCCAACTCAGTCTTTGTGGACCAGTTTGCCATCACATACCTGGAGTATAGGATCCTGTTTTAGCCCAGTTCGCTTCTTCTGCTCAGTGAGATACCAGCTAGATTTCTCTAAACACAAAAAGAAGAAAACCAGTTCTGCTGACAGTTTTGCTTCTGCTGCTGCCCATCCAGTTTCCAGGTGCTCTTCAACTCTTCTGCAGCCTTTGGAGGTGAGGAGGAGAGGCTTAGCACGGGAGTCATCCCAAACGGAAGGGGTGGGGACAGATCATGCGGAGAGGCAGGGTGCAGCAGGCTCCGCATCAGTTGCCTTTTACTCTACTTTTTTTTATTTATTATTTCAGGATTTAGAAAGCAAGAAGCACCCAAACACTATACTGCACTTTTTATTTTTTTTAATCTCTCTAAATATGCGTAATTTCTAATGAAATAGTATAGAGAAGGTGAAACAAGGCTGCTGAGTCTTATTATCAGCACACTTCCACTTCCTGGGCAGATGTCCCTTCCAGACCTGTACACCACAAAATGATGTGTGTGATGTAGCCATTTAAGACAATGCAGAATCTTTACACCTCAGCATTTATAGCTGAGACGTTCAGCATCAGTGGTGCGTTTGCTGCTGCATTGTCAAATTCAGAGGGGGATTTTCTTATAGTATATTCATGCACTTTTATTGTCCATAATAAATGTCTTTAGTGGGATTTGTGCTGAATTAAGATGACTCTGTCCTGGAAAACTTGCAGCATAAAAAAATTACAGAAGTCTTCCTAGCACACAGATCAAATGTATTACAGCCACACCCACAAGTATTCCCAACAAGTCCAAAAGCGTTCCAGGTTATTTTTGATTAGACTTGCTTTCAACAAGTTAGAAACGTTTGAGTCTGAGTTGGCTGTTATTGATGGTGGCTCATTGAAATTTTCCATTCCTATTTCCATAATGACCTTGTATGCAAGGAACATTAGCTTAGCCCTCAGGCTGATGTCTACTGTATCTTTAATTTTCTCTGTGTGTGCATGTGGTTTGTGTGTGTGTGTGTGTGTGCATGTTGGGGGGCAGGAACAAGAGGGACAAAAGAGCCCAAAGAAAATGACAATGTCATTTCAAGTCAAAGATCAATAAAGAAGTGTTGATCCTAAGTGTATATGGCAGACAAGTCCCGCAGTTGCTCTGTAGATCCTCAGCAGTATGATGTGTGGTAGTGACCAGTGTGCAATCTGAGGATTATGTAAAACAGATGGTCCTTGGATTCAGTTCACAAAACTTCAGACATTTATGATGAGGATGCCTGCATGTCGGCGAGGTGTCTACACTCCCAGAGTTGTCATCAAGATCTAGGGTATGATTCACGCTGTGTGAATGTCTTCTTTAGAATGAAATGGATAGTCCCCTAGATGCCACCAGTTGCGCTGATCACGGAGTTTAATGGCAGCCTACCCACCTAGTGCAGGTGTAGATTGCTGCTTTGAGTGCATCATCACTCAGGCAAGATGAGTCCCACCTCTGTGTGCTCTGGGAGCTACACGCAACTTAAAATTAAGGTTTGTCACGACCAGACAGAATGCGTTTGTCCTGTCATACCTGTCAGTAGCTTTGCACATCAGGATTGTATAAGAAACCATTAAAAGATTGCTTGTGTTGCAAGGGAGGGAGTGGGGAGTCCTCACTGAAAAGATCTGGTTTATGCTTTGATATTAATCATGTCTCGGTTGAGCTTGTCCAAGCTCAGATGGGTGGGCATGCTGTATTCAGGTCCACAAGACTAAAGTACTGTCTTCCTACCATGTCCCCCCAAGAACTTGGGTCTGTCCAAGCTGCGGTCCCCTGTGGAACAGGGCCAGCAGGAACAAACATCTGATGCACGCGCATCTTGACACTGTATATCCTGTCTTCATGCTCAGCATCTCTAATTGGGGGTGGTTAGGGTGAAAGGGGAGCAAAGGGCTTGCTCTGCTGTAATGCAACCTTTGCCTCCACATTGTGGTTATGTTTGACTTGCAAACCCCAAATCATTTAGATCTCACATACTTGAAGAGACTGTCTCTTTCCTCATAAGATATAATCATATCTGTAATGGACTTGTGGACTCAGGATTATGGAGTTCATTGCACCCCTGCATTTCCTACAGTCTCAAGAAGTTTATACATTTATTTTTTTACATTTATTTTTTTAAGCCTGCTGTGAACTACTCTGTCTTTTAGGGGGTTTAACAAAAAAAAAAAAAAAAAAAAAAAAAAAAAAGGAAGAAGACAGACAAGTATTGGAATGAGCACAACAGATTCATTTGTTCAAACACACAGTGGTCAAATTTCTGCTTCACCTGAAACACACAGCTGGTTTTCGTTTGGTTGGTTGTTTTTTTTTCCCTGAAGGTCTGCACCAATACTCCTCCAATTGCTCTTCCTGGTTTTACAGAAATGGGCGTGGGATAAAACCCCAAAGTAAATCCTCCGCTTTTGGCTGCATTTTCAGCTGTATGTTAACATAAGGAGCAAGATCCTAGGACATGCAAGCCTGCTGTCCCGAGGCAAAATAGAAAGGTATTTTCTCCCAGACAACTATTGATAGATAAAACCCCAGAAAGCCAAGCACTCTGCTGGCATCTAGTGCAGAAGTGAAAGAGCCCAGCAGAGGGACCACTGGACAGGCTTAAACACGCCCCGTGTACCATCAGCTGGTACAGTATGTGGAGTGCTGCTGTTAGCAACAGACTTGTCAGAAAGTTGAAATCATTACAAATGTATTTATGTTGTGAAAAACCTGTTCAAAGCGCCTGAGATGAGTGATGCTCTGCTTGCAGCCCAGAAGCTGCAGATGAGGCAAGAGGGATGGCGAGGCTCCCTTCACCTCTGGTGTGGGTCCTGCTGGCAATAGCAGCCTTGTTGAGGGGTTACCACCGCTGAAGGCACCTTGTGAGGAACTGGTGGAGAGGCTCTCAGGAAGGGTTAGTGGAGAGGCGTGGTGAGATCAGGTCAGAACAGCTCAGCCCTGCAGGGCCAGCTGTAATGCCAGTGAGGGCTCCGTACCCAGCACCTGCCCTTACAGCAAGAGGCATTTGGGACCTGAGTGGCTCCAGGAGGGGAGCATAGCTAGTCACTTTCACACAACTTCACTGTAAAGCCTAATTCCTGGGCTTGTAATTTGGAGCTGGGTTTGTAGCTTTTGTTTCTGTATGTTATTCCGGTTCGTTTCCCTCAAACCAGTAAAAGGCTGCACACATAAACTTACCTACTGAGTCATCACTTGGGAGTGAAGAAATACAGTTTAACCAGTTTTATTTCATTTTCCAGGTTTCTGGCTTTGGTCTCTAGTCAGTGTTTGAATAAAGATCCTTGGAAATTGGGCCAGCTCTTATTAATACAAATCAAGGCTTGACAGAAGTCTTTCATGTACAGATATTTTCAGTGTCATCAGTGAAAACTAGTCTCACACTTATGATTTTGTTCTTTACCTGGTGTGGTAGTCTGGAGTTCATGGCTGCCTTTGCCTGGAGCATTAAAGAAATTCTCCAGGAATTCTCTGATTTGTTTAGTAGTGAGCTGTATCCTGCTCTTTCCCATGCTTTCCCGTGTGTCTAAGAAGAAAGGCTCTGAAGTCTCTCCTTTGTGGGAGTGACCTTATCTGCTTCATCTGGTACAGCACTGGCAGACACGGCCGCATTCCCTGCTCCCAGCAGAGCACCCACCGTTCCTCATGGGGCACCAGGACCCAGGCCAGGGTGATAGCTGCTTCTTTGCTATTTATCTTTGCATCTCTCACCACCATCTCTCCCCTGCATTTTTATTTGCTGCTAAAAAATAGTAAACCGCATCTGTTGTCGTCTGTGCCTTTTGGCCTTCTCCCCTTTGCATCCGCCCCCTTTCCTGGCTTTCCACTCTACTCCACTTCTGTAAGTTATTCGAAGCCACCAGTGTCAACTGCTTTCTGGTTGTCACTTTTAATGTCCCTCTGCGCATCACGCTTTTCTTTGAGGTGAGCCAGGGTTGGGTCTCAGAGCACACAACTCCTTTTCTTCCTAAAATCGCAAGTATGGCTCTGACCCAGGGACAAAAGGATGATCTGCAAAAAATTGTTTTAAATAGGTGTGTTGCTAATTTGCCTCTTGGCATGTAGAACTGGTTGACTCAACAGTTTCTGGGTTTCTCCTGCCTGGTTTGGATTAATTTTTACCTAAAATATTAGTCTTAGTTTTCCTATGTTTTCCTGAAAGAGCTTGTGAGATTTCAGAGGGTGTGTTTTGTGAACTTTGTAGAAAAAGTGTGGAGTATAACTTTAACTATGCCAAAGTGATAACAGGAAAACTACTTTAGTATTGTGGATGACATGCAAAGAGGCACGTTAAAGTTACCTAACACTGTCCAGGTATTTCTAGGTTATTCAGTATCTCATAATTTATAAAAAACCACTTTTATTGGAATTTTATTACAAGGCAAATGATTTCAAATATTACAAATATTAACAAATATGAATAGCAAGCAATAGGGAAAATAGTAAATTTTGGAGGATTGACTCAAGAATAGGTACCCAAGATCAGAGGCGGCATCATTATTGCACTGAACACTATAAATAGATACATAAGCAAGATGCTAGAATTAAGATTACTTGGATAATTGCATGGATTAAGGTTTGATTTCCTAATCTAAAAACCTGAACATCTATTTTTGCATGAGTTAATATGTGTATTATTTTTTATTACCAAATATTTTGTCATCTTCTCTAAACCTACAAAAAATTGGGATCTAGAAATGACTATAAAGTACTTTTCTTTGCAGTTATCTACCTTTCAGAGTATTACCTTCAAAAATGAATTACTTCCACATATTTATGAAAGCTGAATTTTGTAAGTAGAATTTTCTCCATAAACGTTGATTTAGAAATGCATATATTTGGGTTGTTCCTGAGCACAAGTATATTTTTTGTCACTTTTCTTGGTATGAGTTGTCTCATTAAACAAAACTCATTTAATGATTATTTTATATTTCAGGAACTTGCTGGGGTTAATCAGCTGGAAGTGGGTCATTTTGTTTGCTTTTAATTAAGGCTGTGTTTGCACTAAAATATAAACACAATTTCATTCGTCAGTACAACTAAGTTGCCTTGGACAAGAAGCTGCACCATGTGCCAGTAGAATTTACCCCACTTTCAGAAGAGGTAATTTTCATGGGTAGAAATCTGGCTTCTCCACTGTAACTCCCAGTGTGCAGCTGAACAGTC